CCCTGATCTTTCCAAAAAAGTTATATGTTCATTGCTTTAATATAAGGAATTCATATATTAAATTTCAATGAAATCGGTTGATTATTTCTCTTTATATACACAAAAGTGTATGGTTGGGCCATAGTAAACGTCTAGATGCCGATGCCTGATCTCTTCCAAAACATACGAATTTTTGCGGACGGTCGAGCTCAGCTTATATATAAAATTTCAAGTAAATCGGTTGAATATTTTCTTTGATATATACTAAAAGTTGATCGATCCGTGCCATGGTGGAAGCAAACTTACATATAAAATTTCATCAAAATCGGTTCAGCCGAACTTGAGATACACGCGTGCACACACAGACCGTAAGACCGACAGACCGACAGACGGACAGACCGACAGGTTGCTAAAAATAGTTTATTTACACTTCCCTACTATGGAGAAGTATGTTCCCACCGAAAACTCGATATGCAAAATTTGTTGCCATCACATAACCTACCTATTGTTTACACAATACGGTCGGTAAAAATGAGTACTTCAAATTTTTCTTACTGTGAGTTTATATAAGATTACAACTTGGTTCCCAGCTTTTCGCATCAATATTTTTAAATAATTTTTTTGATTTTAAAATGTTGCTTACCATTTCAACATAAAATGGGTTTCTCAATTTATTTTTAATCAAATTATAAGAAGAAAATATCCTTTCAGCTGCCGCACTACAATGCGCTAAACTGAGGGAGCTTTGAATAAATTTTTCAAATTTTTAACAATCGGCTTCAATTAAAATGTCAATATCGCAATATTATCGTTTATTGTAAAAATTCTAGGCAAACATATTTCATCTGCTGACGTGGAGGAATTTTCCTAAGTTTAGTTACTTCATTCGTGAACTGACTAATTGATTGACTTGCCTATAAAAAGAAAGCTTTTGAATTAGCAGATAAAGGTATATGTATGTACGTAATTTCGTTAGGCAAGGTTTTGTCAAAAAATTTTTAATTATATTGCAAAAAAAGTTTTTTTTTATTTAGAAATTATATTTTTTAACTGAAAATTTTTTTTTAAAATAATTATCAACATTGTTTTTGGGTCTGACTGAAGTAATAGCAAAACGACAGCCCTGATGCTGAAAGAGCGGCCTATCAACACTCTTACGTACGCCTTATATTTAAATTGTTTTATATGTGCAAAGTTTTATTTATGCTGAGTTTTCGCCCACTGACCAAACAAACAAACACATTATTATAATGTATGTATTCCTTTTTCTGTATACAACTGTATTAGTAAAACAGAAGAACAAAAAAAACAAAAATGTAGAATGAGAATAGAAAGAATATAGCAAAATGAGAACAATATTCTTAAGTAATGGAATAATATAGTTTTGGTATTGAGATGTGTATATCAATATTTTTTTTTGTTTAATAACAATTTAATAACAAAAAATTTTAAATGAATTTCAAAATTACACGATCATTACGAATTTCTACTGTTATGAATTACAAAATTGAATAAAAACTGGTAATAACGTATCTACTATTTACATTGAATTGAAAAAATGTTGTTTAATAATCAAGCAAATGTTAAGAATTTTATGTTGAATTTATGTGGTGTCCCAAAAATAAAAGTAAAATGAAATGGTGCATAATTTATTTCATTCTTTTATCTCCAAAATTAAAACAGTCTGACCGACTTTCTGAAATTTCAAAACCACAGTTTATAATAAGTTCATGTAGGTAAAAAATATAATGAAAAACATAAAAACTTATACTTAACTGCTTAGTTTTTGAACCACAAATGTTAATATGCATAAATTTTAATATAAATGCAAAATTTCACAAATTTAAAATTACAAATAAAGGTTTGAGTTTCTATTAAAAATATAAAATTTCGCAAAGTACAATCATTTAAGTATATAAATAAATAAATTTTTACTTTCTTAAATAAGTTTTGAAAGATTTCTTTTATTGATGTTATTTTTTTAGAACAGTTTATTGTTTAATTTCTTTTACGTCAAAAAGTGAATTTTTAGTTGTTAAAACCAAAAAATAAACTTTAAATGATTGAAATAAATCTGATCATAACTACTAATATATTTAATTAAATTACCTTGTTGTTGAATTTATAAAACAAAGCGTTGAAAGTTTAGTTCTAGGCTTTAGTTCTATAATTAATCCTGCATGCAACATGATTACAAGAGAGTGATTTATAATGCGCATGCTAGCTACATTTTGTTCTCAGTGGAATGATGAGAGCAAGAGGTGGAATGATGCAAAGGGGGCTGGGAGGCGCACTTTTTAGAAACCGTTTAGGGCGACGAATAAGCTAGGACCGTGCCTGATTACACCCTGCACCTTAACAATCTGAGTTCAAAATTTTTTTCGAAATACCTAGAATTAGCCTTCATTGTTGTATTACAATTCCTCGAATTTGTCAAACCGCTCTAGAAACTTCACGGATATGTGTGACATATAATTGGACGCAACTACCAAGTTTCATAAGTCTAACTTTATTTTTTTTCCAAATATTTTAAATTTGCTTTTGGAGTTGTCTGGCAGGTAACCAAACTTCTCAAATCATTCCAACAAAACTTCAGGAATATATCTGAAACTAAAGTGAATATACCCTTCAGGAAGGTGCAGGCTATAATGAAAAATAGGCCTTAATTTAAAACAAATTGTGTGTCATTTGAGGCATTACTTAGGTATTATTTTTTGTTTTTCCTTTACTTGAGATAAGTCAAAAAAAAAAGAAAATTTCAAATTTTTCACAAAGTGACTAAAATATACTAAAAAATTTACCCAAATCAATTTTTTTTGATAATTTGAACGCACTTCTCCATAGTAGGTAAGCGTAAATAAACAAATTTTTGAGAGATGTCGGTCTATTGGTCTGTGTGTGAAATCATGTATCAAGGTCGGCTGAAAAAAAGAAAAAAAAAATTCGTAATTTTTGTTTTACAAAATATAAATTTTTAATAAATCATATACATACATATGTATTGATTATAAAAGTGGCAAAATTGTGCAAGTAAGTAACAGTTATTATTTACATATGAAGGCGGGAAAACAAGTTATGCAACAGTAGTACAAAACTATGATGGAACAGTAATGCAAGTTTAGCTGTATAAGAATATTCAAGGAGATATTTAAATAGGCAGCAGCCATGTGCAAGACTATTTCAGGATTTTCATCGAAAATTAGGTTAAAGGGGTTGTTTTTATCCTTACATTCAAGAATCAACTGAGAGTGTGAGGTATAGTCATTTAATCGATAATGGAACTTTACGAAGGAACGAATTTTAGCTCTACAAAACCGACGAAAGACGACAAAAGTAGGTGTGTCGCTGTATAAAGTATGGGTAGTCCATAAATACAACACTGCGAATTTAAAATTACTACAGTTTTAATACAACTGTCAAAAATATATTACTTACGTATTACATTATTGCCTTTCAAGGGGATTTCTCGTTGCTAAAAATTTTAATAATAATCTAAAAATGTAATAGAGCAGTTTTTTTGCTGGTGTAAATTGTGAAAAGTTTTTGACATATGTGCAATATGAAACTTTGAACCTGAAATGAATAAACTATATAGATAACTTTCTTACAGCCAAATTTTTTATAAACTTTTTTTATATTTTTTAATATAGCTGAACAGCTTTTTCTTCGAACAGATTTGAAAAATTAAAAAGAGAGAAATTAACAGGAGACGACTCTTCGTCCTACTCATTAAATTTAAAGTAGGCAAAACTTGAAGAAATTTATGTTTTGTGAAAACCAATAAGAAAACAAAGAATAAGAAGTAACATGATTATTAAGATTGAATTTTATAATAAAAACAACAACAAAAATGCAATCAATATACACGTCAAAAACAATTGTAATAATCTATTACTCCTAAATTTTTCTTAAAATAGTGTGATAATTCGTGCTAGTGGAATTGCTTTCCAAGCGGAACTAATAATTATAAATTTGTTTGATTTTTTATTAAAGAAATATAAAAAACTTCATATTTGAAAACTTTCATTTATACCGACCGTATTGTGTAAACAATAGGTAGGTTATGTGATGGCAACAAATTTTGCATATCGAGTTTTCGGTGGGAACGTACTTCTCCATAGTAGGGAAGTGTAAATAAACTATTTTTAGCAACCTGTCGGTCTGTTCGTCTGTCGGTCTGTCGGTCTGTCGGTTTGTGTGTGCACGCGTGTATCTCAAGTTTCGGTTCAGATTTTGATGAAATTTTATATGTAAGTTTGTTTCCACCATGGCACGGATCGATCAACTTTTGGTATATATCAGGCCTCGGGAACTGCACTTTTTAGCGGGCCTGTTTTACATTTTTGAACATTTTGAAGAAAATATTCAACCGATTTACTTGAAATTTTATATATAAGCTCAGCTCGACCGTCCGCAAAAATTCGTATGTTTTGGAAGAAATCAGGCATCGGCAACTAGACGTTTACTACGGGCCAAATATACATTTTTGTGTATATAAGGTTAAATAATGTCCTAAAAACTGGAAAGAAGTATTTAACAAACATTTTTATAATATTCTGTAACACTTTCATTTAACTAGACAATACACAATGCGGTCGGTTATGTGCTGACCACATCAGATTTTTTCCATTGTGTTAAAAATTGTGTTAAAAACTTTCAAATTTTCAATTGTTTCCATAAAATGGAAAAGACACTTCATTAAGACAGTAATAAGCAAAAAAATTAAGTTGTTTTTATTATTCTTTTTTGATAAAACAATAGCTTCTGATAAATATAGCTTCTGGTTTTGACATTTATTTGAATTTTTTATAGTTTTCAACTTAATTTTCTTGAATTTAAGAAATGGATAAAAAAATGCAATGTTTTTATTGTATATTTTTAATAATTGTACTAATTATTATTGTAATAATTAGAAGACTTTAGTATATCTCCAGTAACACAAAATGTTTTATAATATAAGTACTTTATCTCTATATTATATTATAAATTATTCACTGTAGATATTGTGTTTTTGCTTTTAGTTAAAAAAGGAACAAGAAATGCAAAAGCGGATATTGTGGCACACTTTTAACGAAAAAACTAAACAGTTAGAATTACAACATAAATTGGAATTGGAACACAAACTGCAGGTATAATCACAATTAAATTTATAAGCCAAGTAACGATGTTGGGTCTTTGTAAGCTTTTATTATGGCGGTGTCGTTCTTTTGTGCAAAATGTGTCCTTAACTCCTAACATACTCTTTCATCCATTGATATTGAAAGTTTTTTCAACATAAGAGCTTTACATGTTGTTAAACAATGATGGGAATAAAAAGTTCACTGTATTTTCTGTTGTACTAACACACGAGTTGACTGTGTCAAACTGTACTGTAATTTTAATATGATTGTATCAAAAAAATTTTATTTATTTTTCTATTATCAATTAAAAGTTTTCCAGTTATCGTTAATTTTATATTTATACATACATATCACGTACATACGTAGATTTTGTAAATTATAACAATTTGAGATGAAATTTGAGAATAATAATATAGAATAATAATATATCTCAAGAGGAAGATCATTGTAAATTCAAGTCAATACAAATGAAAATATTTCTCAGAAGGAATGTCACGTTAAATAATAAGAATTAATCTATGTATGCATTGAAAATTGATGAACCCAGGTAATTAAATTTACCTACATTTATATTTGATAACGTGTATAACTTAGATTGTGTACATATTTTTTGCAATATTTAGTCTTATATGAAATTATAGATTGAATAAATTGGCGTTTCAGTGTGTTCTTAACGAAACTGAAAAAAACTTTACATTAGTTTTGAATGTCTTAACATTGAACATAAATATAATAATAAATAGGTCTGCCGGGGATGAAACTTGAGAAACTTTAAAAAGAGAAACAATGACAGATTTTTCGCAAAAAGAAATATTTAAATATTGTATGTATAATATATAAGCAAATTTTTAACCGAAAGAAAATTTATCCCATAGTAATATATTACGCATATATGGCAAACAGGCTTCATGGAAATATTCAAAATTTATAATATTGTATATATTGGTTTTATTATCGTGGAAACACCTGTATTTGCACATATTTATAATGTAGAGCTTATAAATAAAATAAATAATTGCTCTTGATACTACATTTCACCTACTTTTATTTGCGAATGCCAAATGGGACCCATTATGGCGTTATTAAGTGTTATGCCATTAATTAGTGTGACAACAGCGAGAAACACATACGAGTACTTGAAAAACCAATAGCACTATATTTTAACAACAGAAATAAAATACTTTTTTTAAATTTTGAACATCTACATATAGGGTGTATGAGACGCGATGGTATACCCGAATCAGAGTGATAGTGCAATGGTGCGCTCTTCGTGATGATTAGATCAAATTTCTCGAAAATTAATTCTTCAAAGTTCATTAAAGATTTCTATTCTCCTTTTTAGTAATTACAAAAATTACCGTATATACATATCATATTTATATTTGGTAATTGATTCATTATGTTCTTCCTTCTTTCATTATGTTATGTAATGTATGGGGCGAATTTAATCAGCACCTCGACTATACAGGTCTTTTGTACATCCCCGCGCCAGATCATTAGAACTCATGATTCGGGCTCCCGATAAATTTCAGCAAACCCGCCATGCACAACGATTGAATGAGAATCAAAGTCAAAGGCCCCGAGAATCTAAATTTGTATCTAGAGCGTGCCAAGCCATCAAACTTAAATAGGACATGAGTGGAGTCCTCCGTGTCCTGGTCGCAGAATCTACATCGCTGTGTATTTGATTTGCCAATTTTTTGTAAATATGAATTAAGAGGCTCATGCCCAGTGACAAACCACGAGAGAACCCTCAGTGAAAAGCGGTTCCGCCTTACAATGTCGAGATATCTGCCCGTCGGGATATCTATAACTGCCTCGACAGATTCCTTCTTTCATTACATTTTTTCTCAAAAATTAAATTCCCAATTTTTTAAGAAACAATGTTATGAAAAAAGAATATAAGAAAAAACACAAACGAACAGCCAATTATTGTGTATCATCTATATTATATTTTACAAGATTTTTCCAGTTCATGAACAGGTATACATATAATCTAATAAATAACAAAAACAAAAAAATGAAAATAGCAAAAGAGAATACTGGGTAGATACATTACTCAATTGATTAAACAAAAACAAAAAATTAAAAGCGAAAAGCGAAAAGCGAAAGAGAATAAAAAAAGAGTAGTAATATTTTTTTTGTTTTTTTGCTTTTTGAAATATTTTAAATGAGTTAAGTAAGAGTAAAATAATTTTTTGTTGTTGTATTTAACATGGAATCGAATTAAAAAAAAAAAAACTAAAAATTGTGAGAGATATATGAACACGAATAACGTTACGTTACGTACTAAGGCAATTATTCTTCGTGTGCTTGCGAAATTTCAATTGAGTAAGTAGCCAAGCCAGGTCTGTATAAAGAAAAGAGGCATTGATTTTTTATTAATTCACATTCACTTTGGTTTTAAAGTTTAACGTGAAAGGTACTATTTCCAATTGCGGATTCTTTTCTTTTTAAAAAATGGATAACAAACAAATGATGGAAATATTTTAACAGATAAAGTTGTTTATAAGGAAATTTTTCGTTCTTAAATGTTAACTAATTCTTAAATTGAATTTTAATCATATCTATGTAATTAACAGTGACACATATTACATCTTAAAATTTATTAAATTAAAAATATTTCCATTACTTGCTGCTTATAAGCAAACCACAGGGGCCCCTAGTATATTTATAATATACAACACAAATAAGACCAAGCAACCTCACTAAATACCAAAATTCATTTTGCAATACTAATAAAAACGAACGAGAATTCAAAGAAATGAAATTTAATAAAAATTAAAGTGACCGAACTATCTACAATCTAGGTAGAGTAACACTTGTAAATTGGAGAATGGGGTGAGTGCCCAGTGTTCTGCACACCCATCAACGAGGACCCACCCAAACTCTGCCTTCTCGTATGGATCAATGCTCCACACTTTTTGGAAAAGTGCATTGGAATTCAACAGCCGGAAAGTCCCTTTGATTTCCGAAGCCCCGGACGTGCGCTCAATAGCCTCAGCCTTATCTCCTCCACTACGCTTCTTAACACCTCATGAATTTCGCCTGGTACAATAACGTAAAAAGGCTCCGGTCCTACAAAACAAAATATACGCGCAATCCCAGACAACCTGTGCATCTCTAATAGACAAACCTCTGATTCGTCTTTTGTATACTCAGAGTTCTTAAATGAGTACCAGTTCAAGTTGTTGCTTGGTGAACAGACTTGCTATCACTGCCGAAGGTGCTTTGACATGGTGGAGGTCCACTTTGGCCACCTCGGTTCCCTCTTTTCTCCTCGATTTTCTTTTATTTATGTAATTCTGATCCAAATGATTATAACGACATTGAATATTTTTGAAGTTCTTTAATGAGTATCAGTGTTTCACTTTTTTTCAACTACCTATTTTTCGGATTTTCTGTTAAATTAGTTTAGATAGGTAAAAAATTTATGTTATTGATTTGAAAATTTTTTTATCTGATTTTGAAAATTTTCAAAATCAAATTTTGTATTCTAAAAGCACAATTTTTATATTATATTATTCGTTGTGATCTGCTCGAAATTGTACTCCAGTTAGATGTGAATCGTCCAAATTACAAATCTCTTAATAAGAAAATTAGCGTTCTATGGCTTAAAATTAATAAATGGTTAGAAATAGTTTTTAGAACGATTTAGAAATAACTTAAATCGAAAGACCATTTAAAAAATGGTAACTTTTTTATTAAAATCTTATTAACTTATACAGGCTCCAAACAACAAAAATATTATACCAACCATTAAATTTGGAAAATTATTTGTAATGTTTTGGAGTTGTATATGTTGTCACGGGGTATTACATTTGTTTTTTTAAGATGGTCGTATAGATAAGCAACAATATCTAGACAGTTTAAAAACGAACCTGGTAAACAAAGTCCAAAAATTTGGTCTTGTTGGTTATTATAAATTTTATCGGTATAACCGCTTGCAGCATAAATCTTATTTGGTAAGAAGTTGTTTGCTTCATGACTGCCCAAAAGTGTTCGAAACACTCCCCCAAAGTCCAGACCTCAATCCAAATGAGAATTTTTGGGCCCTAATTTTGAAAAGACTTTATTTACATTGTAATATGTCGAACTTCTTCTTTTTTGTCCCTTTTCTTTTGTGGTTTCTTCATTAGAAAAATTATTTCAACGCAATTATGTTCTATAAAGGATTAATAAACTGACATTTACAAAAAAAAATTTAAAATCAATGCATGCCATGCAACTTATTAAAGACTGAAAGTAAATTTTTCAAAAATTTTTTCATTTTGAAAAGACTTTCTTTACATTTTATGTATACATAAGAATAACTTAGCAACAACAGCGTGTAATTGTATATTTTTTGTTTTTTTTACTATTTTTATCTAATATTTTCATTTTTATTAAAAGCAAAGTTTGCTTAAATAATTTTTTGAGCTATAATTATATCCTGCACTTCGTGAAGGGTATATTAACTTTGGTATGGAGTTTGTAACTGCTTGAAGGAGTCATCTGCGGTATGGACAAATATATATATTCTTGCTCAGCGTAAAATTGTGCGTCGATTTAGATATGTCCGTCCGTCCGTCTGTCCGTCCGTCCGTCCATCCGTCCGTCCGATCGCACGATAACTCAAAAACGAATAATGCAATCGACACCAAACTTTCACAAGTTTTTTCTTTGGTGCCAAGGACGAATCCTATTGTTATTGGACTTATTCGGAACACGGGTTCGGGTAGTTGCCATACAACTCAAAGAGTTTATTTTAAATATTTCAAAAACTAATAAAGCTAAAATTTTGTATACATATGTCCAATTATATTCTACATATGCTCTAAAAATTATAATGGGATAGCTGCACCGGTTCGGGTGGTTGCGATACAATTCCAACAGCAAATTTTTTATATTCGGCAAAATAATAAAGTAAGATTCATGAAACTTGGCAGTTAAGTGTCCAATTATAGGTCAAATATATTTCTGACGTTTTAGAGGAATTGCTTTACAAGTTCGGGTACCTGCCATACAACTTCAGAAGCTAATTTTAAATATTTGGAAAAATAATAAAGTCAGATTCATGAAACTTAGCAGTTGTGTGTCGAGTTATAGGTCAGATATATTTCTGAAGTTTTGGTGGAAATGCTTGACAGGTTCGAGTAGCTCCCATACAAGTCTAAAAGCTTATTTTAAATATTTGGAAAAATAATAAAGTCAGATTCATGAGACTTGGCAGTCGTGTGTCCAATTATAGATCAGACATATTTCTATAGTTTTGGTGGGGTTACTTGACAGGTTCGAGTAGCTCCCAAAGAAGTCTAAAAGCTTATTCTTAATATTTGGAAAAATAATAAAATCAGATTCATGAAACTTGGCAGTTGTGTGCCGAGTTATAGGTCAGATATATTTCTGAAGTTTTAGTGGAATTTCTTGACAGGTTCGAGTAGCTCCCATACAAGTCTAAAAGCTTATTTTAAATATTTGGAAAAATTATAAAGTCAGATTCATGAGACTTGGCAGTCGTGTGTCCAATTATAGGTGAGACATATCCGTGAAGTTTTTATAGAATAATTTCACAGGTTCGAGTAATTGCTACACAATAACGAAAGGTGCAGGGTATAATTCAATCGGTTTATACCGACTGAAACGTTTTTACTTGTTTTATATATTTTTATTCTTAAATAATGTTATTTTCATCAAGCCACTTTTATTTTAATTCCTTTTTCTAGTACTTTCCTTCATTTTTCTGTATTGATTTTAAGATTTCACTATTTTACTATTGAAGTCTTTTGAATTATAGTAATTGTTGTATAATATATTATACAACATAGTTTATTTATAACCCATCGTTTACACACGAAATGGAAATCTCTGCATTTTTACTTTTATTTTATTTCAATATAAGTTATGTTGCAAAAATTTGAAATGTTATGTATTTATAAAAAGAAAGCCTTTTCCAATATTTTACTATCAAAAATTTTAGGAATATCGTGCGTAATAGAATTAAGATTAAATTAAAAAAAAATAATCTAATTACTCGAGAAGGGGGGTGAAAAAATAAAGTGTCAATAAGAGTTTATTGTTCGTTTGTAGATATTCTATCATTCATATTTACAAATTCTATTCTAATTTACCTATTATACGTATTTTAAAAAACCGTAAAGCAAACATATGCGAAGTGATACATGTTTCATACTCTACAATTCCCAATAAATTTCATATACAGTTAAAATTTTGATTGAATTTGAAAAAATATTGCAGATTAAGTCATCGAAAATTCAAATTTTACAAACTGCGGAAGGCAATAACTTAATAGTGAGGGAAAGTGGAAAAAATTGTCTAACGAAATGAACTATATAAATAGTTATAATAGTTAGACACTAATAATAGTGTCTAAAAGCTGCACATTTTCAGACTCATATAATCTGTTGTCTACAAAAAAACCGACATTAAAAATTTGAAAAAAAAAAACGGATTTTAGATAACAGTAAATTTTAATAGCCATTTTGTTTTAGTAAAGTTCAAATATTCTACGCCGCGATAGAAAAAGCCAGCTACTACATTTCTGCGTTTGCAAAATTTTAAAAGTACTTATAGTTTCGCTGCAATAAATAGTTAAAAAATGCTATTTTTAGGGTTGGGGGTTATAACTTTTGGAGAGGGGAGATATGCAAGAATTTTCTCCTACGGAAATATGTTTCTGGTAAAAATGTATTTATGTATGAAATTTCAGCTCTCTTCCTTCAAGGGTGTTCAACGTTTGTAAACAGACACACTGACAGACGGATGGATGGGTAAAGTGAAACTAATAAGCACATTTATTCAAATTGTTTTTGTAAAAGTGCATAAAGTTTCAATTTCTAAATAGAAAACTGCCTTTTACTGTACAAGAAAAATTTTAACAATTCAAGTTTTGAAATAAATTTTCATAAAAACTTAAACTTACATTCATAGATTATCTCCTTTTTTTTTATACGCTTTAAATTGTGATGAAAACATACCGACTTTATGTTAACATAACACTTCCCACTGCGAATTAAACAAACTGTTGATGTGTTTAAAATAGAATATTTTGAATTAAAATTTTTTCTATAATCTGGCATGTGCTTTAAGTTATGTTCATTTAGTGTCCATAGTTTATTTATACTTAGTTACTCAAATAAGTTATTTCTTCAAATGCGCCGACCAATTGAATTTTTGTTTTTTTTTAGATCCTATTAACTATGTTTTATGAAATAAATCGGTAGGAGTTGTGCCTCCCGAGATATCAGAACTCCTTTAATTGGAGCAAATTTTTTATATAAAAATTTAATTTTCTACTTCAATGTATAACTGCATTTTTCTTTTCCATTTCGTTGCAATACTTTCTTTACACATGCACTTTCTTTACACATAGATATGTTATTACCATCTGCCTTTAGAAATTTATGGAAATCTGTTGGAAATTTTGCAAGGTTCAACAAAAAAGACGAACGGCTTTCTGAGTAACTATACTTATTATAGCTGATATACTTTGGTTTCGATGCCGATTCGTCTTTAATGCTCTTTAAGACTTTTGTGAATTTTAGATTTTTATTCAGGACTAAGCTTTAAATTTCCGGGGTTCTGATGGATGACTAGGAGGTCATCAAGAAAAATGAACCACAGAAGAACAGCGAGTCCTTGTCTGGGCTTTGGACGACTTCTCACTGTATGCGGCGGATTTAATAGATGGCATATTGACCACCCGCTTCGAGAATACTCTGTGCGACCTTAAGCCAGAATCGCGGTCCCGCTGTCGGTCACTATTGCGACATTACTATCCGAACATAGAGAACCTCAAGATTTCGCGTGCTTTCAATATGGCGAAACCTTAACCTAAAAGACACTGGACCCGTCACAAAGCCAATACCAGTCAAACCCCCATTGTGTCAAGGAGAAAATTTCAGCATCTAATTGCGGAATAAAGCCACACCTCAAACAAGTTTTCTCCATCGTCACACAAGCGCTCCATAGGTGAAGGTTGGTCGCAAAACCGTTGTGTACAACCAGACAGCTCTGCTAGGTTTCAATCCGCATCCCCTATAAATAATTTTCTTGCAAGCCCTTCTTACCTTTTCCTCCATGTCAATCCTACAGATAAGCTTTGGTTCTAGCACAATACCCAAGTACTTAACCCGTTGGACGGCAAAGAAAAGATCACTACCCAGTTTGGGTAGCTGGTAGTATGTAATTGTAATTGTCGCGCTAAAAAGCACTAGCTTCGTTTTCTCTGACTTCACTCCTAGTCCACACTTCTTGACCCAAAAACTCACATCAGTCAGCAATTCTTCCAATACACTGCAAAAGACTATAATCCTTTAGGTTATCATGACCTCTCTTCTCGGTTTTGGGATGAAGGCCACCTTTTCATGTCTCCATAACTTGGGTACGTGGCATAGTGAGAGGCAGCTTCTAAAAACTTTTCTCCTAAAAATTTATATTTATAAATTCTCCAGTTCTTTGCGGTATCGCAAAGCATCGGGGCTTTAGACATATTCCTCAAGAGAACGGGTTTGCTTAAATAGTTCACCTGTAACCGTATGTTTTATGATGGTCCGGTGGTCACGCAGTGATGGTAGCAAAACGGCACATTTGTGCTAATTGTGACGTCGTGAACCTGCTACAGCGTTAACCAACCTATCAACCAACGCTTTCAATTTCAATTATCCCCGAGTTGCACAGTCACTTATTTCAGCAACTAATTATTTTAAGAAAATACTTACCTATTCACATTTGTTAATACTTATTTAATAATTTGGTAAAGAATGAGAGTAAATACATAATATTTTAAGTATTTTTGGGTATTATTTAATTTCGTATGTCACTTGCAGTTCGAATGAAACCATTATTTATTTTAAGAAATTTCATTTTATACATTTGGTAATTAGTATTCGTATTTGAAGCTATAAACTTAAAATTTATTTGAAGCTTGTGAGAGAAAATGGTTTGCCTCTTGAGTGGTCTGGCGATCGCTATGTTAAAACACATACAAAATTACATGAGTAATTATATGAATAATTATATGAATAATATCATCTGAAATATAGCGTATAAAAATATGATATCACATATGAAGATATTTTAACTTTCAAAAATACAAGTTAAAATAATTTTAAGACACACAGTTTGCAATTTAATTGTTTTTCTATTTATTACTGTTAATTCTTTCTACTATTTTTTTTTCAATATATCAATTAATAACATAATATATACATTCAAAATTATGAGATTCTGTGTTTTCAAGAGATAAAAAAAATGAGAATCTCTGTTTTAAGGATGAAGGTGTTTTCAATAAAAAAAGTAATCAAAAATCACTGAATAGTGTATAACTTATTTTAAAAAAATAAAAAACGAAAAAAAAATTAAGCTATCTTATACTATAGTTTGCGGCACATTCACATGGCGTATTCCAGGAATTGCGTGAACGAGACCGTTTAGTTTCTGAAGAAACCGAAATCAAAGAACGAAAAGAACGGGAAACATTTGGTAAAAAAAAGGAGGCCAATCGAGCCAATGCTAGTCCGGAAGTGAAACAAATTTTAATGGTAAGTTGCAACACACTGTATTACATATTTTTTATTATAGTAATTTATTTTTAATATACATATTATACCTACTTCTACATACATATGCATATTAAATAAAATTATTTTATTAAATAAATTTGTTAAGTTAATATTTTATTAGTAAATTGGGAAGTAATGGTAAATAAGTTTAAGTAACCAAAAACTTAAATTTTAAATAGAATTAATTAATATCGAAAAATTTTAAAACTTAAAAATCAATGAAAAAATTTTATATAAACATGAATGAAAAAAAAAAACTGGTTTTGTTTTTTGAATTTTAATACTGAATTTCTATTTATATACACTAAGTCCTCGAGATACGACATCTCGAGTTACGATATGATATAAATTTGGACCATTTTTATTCGGCTTTCGACATTATTCCTGATACGACATTAAAAACTTAAAAAAAAAAATTTTTTTTGACAGATTTTACTGTTTTTTGAATGAAACTCTAAAGCACATTATTTCAATAATAAACTTTTTCTAGTTAAAAATGCTAGTCAGTAGTTAAAAATAAAAATTAAAGTGATATATGTATATCAACTTAATCAGATTTTTTTTTTATTTATTTTTGTCACAAAATTGAGTTTCTTTTTTGGTTTCGCTATTTTATTTTGTTGTTTTTTTTAAACTTTGTTATCTTTTTTTAAAAAACAGGTCAATTATATTATAAAATAGTTTGTCCAATTCACTTTTTGTTTCCATACATTTTTTTCCTCCTCAAACGACAATTCAGTTACGACATTAATTTCTGGAACCCAAAATGTCGAGGATTTAGTGTATACATAAAACATACTTAGTGGATGAGAATACAGATATCTCTTATAACCTAGATGGCAATCCAATGGCACGCGTGCCAAGACTGGCACGTTTCAAATTTTCCTTGGCACGCGAGAAATTTTCAACTTTTCATATCGAATTGAAAAAAAAATTTTTTTTTTATTTGAAAAAAATTTTTTTTTGTTTTAAAAAAAAATTTTTTTTTTTTTGCTGGATAATTTTTTTTGTAACTTTTTTTTTGGATTAATTATTTGTTATTAATTACCCGTTTACTTAATTTTTAAATGGAAAACAGTGTATTCACAATTTAAATATATTTAGACGTACCTAGTTACTTATTTCTTAAAAAATATCGAGCATAATTTCTTCAATATTTCCTAATACCAAAATAATTTTTGAATTTTATTTTACCAAACATTCCTACTCGCTTTTTCTGTTCCTGTATAATGCATTTAATATTTCGTTTTCATTTTGATCCAATGAGAAACAATGAGAGAATTAATAACGAGAAATCTCTCTGTTGGTGTTTTGTTTTGTCTTGTTTTGTGTAAAATTGTTCTTGTTCTTGTTCTTACATTTGCTCTGATTTTTTTTCGATTTCACTTTGTTTAATTGATTAAAAATTAATAGATAAAAAATTGAGAAGTATGAGACAATGAGAGTTTTCCATATTTTTTTCCCATTTAATAATTTAATTGTTCAGTTGGCGAAATTCAATTGTCGCATAATGACGTATCTATGCTTCTTTCTTCTATTCTTCTTGTAGTTATTAAAAAAAAATTTTTCAGTTAAAAAAGTCATAGGTTTTTTGTTATTTAAAGGTTGAGTATTTTTTAAATATAATTTATTTTTTTTAAATATAAAAAATATCCAAAATATTTAAAATATCTCCATCAGCAACAAAATATTTTTTTAAAATATAAAATATCATTTATTTAAAATAAAAAACGGCTTCATGAAAAAAACTATCGATTTAAAATTTCAACGGCGATGCCCAGCAACCATTTCATATAAAATTGAAATTTAGTTTCCAAAGGAAATTTATTCGAAATAGTTAATTTTATTTAACTCATATAAAAATTGCTTTATAAGGTTGAAATATTCCAGGAAAACAAATATTTATTTTCATCAAAGTCATATCGAATTAATTTCCTACAATCGACATTGATTCATTTCATTAATTCATTGACCAAAAAAATGTTCTGACATTTTTTCGCTGAACCCTGGCACGTTTGAAATTTTATCAATTTTTTTTTCCAAAACTGGCACGTAGGTTCGTTGGGTCTTGCCATCTAGGTCTTATAACACAGTCACCTTTATACAAGACCTCGCAATTCACAATTTATTAATACATGTATGTGTATTGAAAATTGATCATCCCACTTATTGTTAAGAAATATATAAATAATAACAAAATTAAATTTCATGTTATTACAAACTAGAATAATAAAATACAGTTTTTAGATAAAACAAAAATAGTAAATACATAAAACAATTGTTTAAAAAAAAAATTTAAATTTACTTCTTTTATTACCTACATAACATATTTACATAAAAAAATAAATATTTTCCTTAAAACTAGTAATTATTGATGAGACAACTTTTAAATTTTATCACGTAAATATACCTACGTAATCTGTTTAATTTTCTTTTATTAGAGATTAAATTATTTATTTATTAAAATTTTTAAAATCTTAATATTAGTAGGTAATTGATTATATTTGCCACTGGCAGCAGAATAAAATTTAAAGCCCTCACAAATTAAAAATACTTCGTTGGTGTCGAATCTCTTTTTCCTTATGCTTGTATTCATTTTTCCCTGAAGATCTCGCTCTTTGCAAAGTAAATGTAGGTGTAGCATTTACGTTCTCCTTTTTTCTTAGACTATTGCTTCTGCATCCTCGCAGAAGTAATAGTCTAATTTGACGCAACAATAATTTATATATATAATCATATATATAACACAAAAAATTAATATAATTATTCACTAAATTCAAGTTAAAATTAAATTTTAAACAGCATATAAATTATTTTACAGCTCATTTCTTGTAAAACCTTATTCTATAGACTCAAATACAAAAATATTAACATAGCTTGTACAATATAGGAGTTTATGGATAGGACCACAGACATCTTTATGCAAGACTAAGTAATGTACATTTTACTAATCCATACATACGGTGTATTGAAAGTTGATCATCATACTTTTTGTTAAGCATTATATTCTTATATTAGCTATTTTCGAATAAATTACGTATGGTTATGGTTTAATAAAGATATTGGGGATTTGATGTTTTTACAAACAAGAATAATAAACTACAGATAACAAAATATTTTTAAGTAAAACAAAAATTGTAAATACATAACAAAAATTGTTTTTGGGAAAAAAAAAATTGAATTCACTTTTTTTATTAACTACATATAACATATTTACAGAAAAAAATAAAGTTTTGAATCCATTTTTTTTAAACTAGTAATATTGAATAAGAAAACCTATAAATTTTATCGTGTAAACGCACCAAAATTACACAAAATTTTTTAATTTTCATTTATTAGAGTCTAAATTCCATACTTATTTAAATTGTTAAAATCTTAACATTAGTAGGTAATTGAAAAAAAAATATTTGCCACGTGCAACAAAACAAAATTTAAAGCTCTTACGAATTATATAAAGATGTCTGTGGAGGCACACACGTGGTTACGTAAACCAATTCTATTGTTGCTGAGATTAGTGAAACATAAAATAAAAATTATTTAGCCAAGAATGTTATTGCTCGATCAATTTCTAAAGAAATGTTTTTTCATTTATTTTTTTATATGATATTAAGTATGTATATGTTATAACCCAAGAATATGTATGTATATGTTATAACCCAAGAATGAAAATCATAAATACTAATCATAAAACAATGTTGATTTTGTTTGCAACAAAAAAAAAATTACAACTATGAAACAGTAATAACAATTTTTTTGCTATATATTGGTTTTTTTGTCATATTGAATATTTCAATTTAGTTTTTAAACCACTTTCATTATTTTTCATACAGTAATTTTCTAAGCACATTATGATGTATTTTCAAATCAAATTTTAATATTATCTATTGTAAAATAAAAATCAAAATGTAACCCAAAAATATTCCAGGTATATAGACCATTCACAAATCATTAAAACAACTAAGTCATAGATTATGAAAATACTAAAAAAAAATCTGATGTGGTCAGCACATAACCGACCGCATTGTGTATTGTCTAGTTGAGTGAAAGTGTTACAGAATATTAAAAAAATGTCTGTTAAATACTTCTTTCCAATTTTTAGGACATCGGTAAGCTTATAGTTAACATACCTAGAAAAATGTAAATTTGGCTCTTAGTACAGTTTCGTTTTGTGCTACCCGAATTCCCTGAAATGCCCACCAGTTAGTTTTGGTAATAGCCAGAACTCAAATATCAAATTTCAAGAAATTCCATCAATTCGTTCCGTAGATATGGTGAAAAATGTAAAATCGGCCCGCAAATCAGTTTTCGAGCCCTGATCTTTCTAAAAAATTTACATATTCATTGTTTTAATACTAGGAATTCAAATATTAATTTTTAATGAAATCGGTAGATTATTTCTCTTTATATACACAAAAATGTATATTTGGCCCGTAGTAAACGTCCAGTTGCCGATGCCTGATTTCTTCCAAAAGTTGATCAATCCGTGCCATGTTGGAAATAAACTTACATATAAAATTTCATCAAAATCGGTTCAGCAGAACTTGAGATACACGCGTGCACACACAGACCGACAGACCGACAGGTTGCTAAAAATAGTTTATTCCCTACTATGGAGAAGTGTATTCCCACCAAAAACTCGATATGCAAAATTTGTTACCATCACATAACCTACCTATTGTATCCACAATACGGTCGGTAAAAAATTAACTTTAACTAATATGTATTGTATAAAGAAAAAAATAATAAATACTTATATTAACAATTGGAATTGAAAATTCATTTCAATTATTGCCTTTATATGCGCACATAATGCAAATACGTTACATAGTGGAAGCCCCCTTGTCGACGCTCGATTTCTTTCAAAAGCTAGATGTCTTTTTGTATTGTCATACGAATCTTATACTTTAAACTTTCAAGTTAATTTATTGAAAATTTTCTTAAAAAATCAAATAGAATAATAGTAAAGATCTGACATATTC